AAGTGCCTGAGCAGGGCTGAGTTCCTATGAAGCCTTACTTATGGACACAAATTTGAATTTCATATAATTTTTACATGTTACAAAGTATCATATTTCCTTTGATTTGTCTTTAACCATTTAAAAATGTAAATTCTTATTGTTCACAACTACCAAGATATGGAAGCCATCCAGAAGTCCACTGACAGATGAATGGTTTGAAAAATTCTGGTCTATGCACATAATGGAATATTATTCGGCCCCGAAAAGGAAGGAAATCCTGTCACACAATACCACACCGATGAAGCCTGAGGGCATTATGCTAAATGAAATAAGCCAAAGGGATAAATGCGGTGTGATTCCATTTATATGAGGTATCTGAGGTAGTCAAATTCACAGAAGCAAAAAACAGAATGGTGTTTGCTAGGGCCAGGATAAGGGGTGATGGGAGCTGTGTTTAAGGGGTATAGAATTTCAGTTCTGCAAGATGAAAAAGCTGTACAAAAATAATGTGACTATACCTAAAATGTTACTGTACCATTTACTTAAAGAGATTATGATGGTAAATTTTATGTTACATGTTTTACTGAAATTAAACACTTTTTTTAAAGAAGGGAAAATCAACTTTTCTTCCACTGAAAGTCACATAGGAACAGGCGGCCAGTCCTATGGGCTGTAGTTTTTCCACCCCGCCCTCCTGGTGACTAGCCCGAGGGCAAAAAAGATGGTCCACCTTCACGCTTCTCCAGTGTGCCCACTGAAAGACCTCTAACAGCACAAAAGGGAGCACGAAAGCTCCCACAGGGTCCGCCTGCAAGTCTATAAATTTCTTCTAAACACTCTTTCAAAAGAAGTTCAGGAAAGTTTTTGAATCCTAGTCCATGACATATTGTTTTAATGTAAAACTGGCATTCACCATAAAAAGTCAGTAAAAACTGATGCTGAGACTCCTAGAGGGTGAGTGACTTAGTCAGGGTCACACAGCTAGAACAAGTCAGCCTGGAACAGGGCCCCCAGTTCCCCGCCCCCATGGGCATCCTTCCCACCAGAGTGGGCTGCCTTCCTATCGGGCTTGGGCTATCCACTCCCATCTCGAACCCATATCCCCTCAGTACTGAGGCTATCCTCAACGTGAGTAATGATGGCAAACCACTTTTGAATTTCTACAGAAACTCATCAGTTCATAAATTTAATGCCATCAATTCATAAGTGTCCTATATTACGGGTTCTACTATGTTCGAGAATATTTTAGTTTGATAGATTTTAAAATGCATCTTTCCCCCTACCCCATCTAATCATGCCTTCTCATCTATCTGTATTATTATTGTTATTATTTTTTACTTTTATAGTGCCCTGCTCTGTTATCCGTTGTGGAACGTTCAGTTATGAGGGACCTGAGATGTGTTGTTTTGTATACTCTGCATCCATGTCCTCTTGTGGTAGGTTACATTATTTGTTCAGAACTCTCCCCTCCCTCCCTGTCCTTCTCCCTGTCCTTGACTCTAGACCTGGCCATACAACTTGCTTTCCCCAATAGATCGTGAGTCAAACTGAACGTGTGTTACTCCCAAGTGGAAGTGTTAAGAGGCATCGTGTGTCTCCTCCACTCACTTCTTTTGAGTTCCTGCTGTCCCTCCAGGTCCTCCTGGAGAACCAGCCGTCCCAAGTTCAGTCTGGGTCCCAGAATGAGAAAACCAATGAAGTGAACCTGAAGCCAGCCAACCCAGACCCATTTGTGGCTGTGGAAGCCAGGGAATGCTGGGCTTGCTTGTTACACAGCATTATCCCAGCAAAAGTGAATACACCCCTTCTTTTGGAACCAGGGCTTTGATTTTCTTCTGGAGACCCAGCCCTTCTCCACTCTTCACCCGTAGAGTCTAGTTGAGCTGACCACCCTCCACCTTGCCCCCAAGCACCTGGCTCCAGCACATCATGCTAACTTCAACCTCTGGCATGATGCCGGCTGCTCTTACCAAAGCTGAGAGAGACTCGCTGTCTCTTGGCCAGCAGAAATGAGTGGCCCTGGGTCCTGTCACCTGCTCAGAGGGGCTCCTGGAGAAATCTTACGAATGACCCATACAATCCCAACTCCTGTCTGTTTACAACCCAGGCGCAGAAAGAGGAGTGTGGATCACCCCATACCAAATGCCACAGCTCTTGGCTGCTTTGGGGGTGGAGGGAAGGGAAGCATGGGACACAAATAGCTGGGGTTATGGACTGAAGGTTTGTGCCCCCACCCCCCAAATTCACACTGAAGCCCTGACCCCCATGCGGGGGTTAGGAGGTGAGGACTTTGGAAGGTGATTTGTTTTTGATGAAGTCGTGAGGGTGGGGCTCTCATAATGAGATTAGCGCCCTTGGTCGGTGCCCTTCCCCTCGCTCTCCACCCACAGGTGCGCACTGAGGAAAGGCTAGGCGGGGGCAGAGGGACAGGTGGCCATCTGCAAGCCAGGAAGAGGGTCCCCAAGAATCAAATTTGCTGGTGCCTTGATCCTAGGCTTCGCAGCCTCCAGAACCGTGAGGAAGAAATATCTGTTGTTTTTGCCACCCAGTCTATGGTATTTGTTCTCGTAGCCGAAGCTAAGACAGCAGTTTTCCCTTAGAAAGCAAAGGAGAGAGGCTGCAGATGCCTACAAGTAAAAATTATTACCGTGCCTTTAGGAAGAGAAGAGTTGGCTCTCTGAGTTACTCATTCATAGGAAGGGCTGGTGTGGACAATCTGAAACAGAGGTTTTCAACATTTGTCATCTATCTCACGGCACACACAAGGTAATTACTACAATTCCACAGCACACCAAAAATATGTTTTTTTTGATGATCTGACAAACATAGGTATACCTCTGATGCATTCACACCAGACGGCCATTGTGGTATTGGCTGTTGTCATTTTTTAAATTGACAATCTAAGTTAAAAAGAAGAGGTCAGTGCCCCTGACTGAACAGTCGGGTACTGCGTGTTTTAAAAATTCCTGTGACACACAGTGTGCCTGTTGCAGCAAGCACACTGACTGAAAATCACTGATGTACAACACCGGGAAACGTGAGTTCTTCGGATGGTCTGGGAAATGGTGAGGCCGCCTGTCAGTGTCTCAGAAGTGCTTCAGACAAGGAGGCATTTCCTCAACACAATTGGATGGCCTGACAAAAAAACTCAATACATCTTAGTAGTCTACAAAGACTTGTTGTGAAAAAATACAATAAATAACGAGCATGAAAGCCACTGGTTTAACATACTTATGTTTGGCTTTGCCGTGTACTTTTAAAAATAAAGCAACGTGGTGTTAATTGTGTGTGTGAGGTGGGGTTTTTTTTTTCCCTCCTGGATAAGGATAATAAAATAAGTTTACATTCTCCCAGCTCACAGCCAGCTGGACGCTGCGGGACGCGGAGTGAGCTCTGCTGAGAGGTGGGAGAAGCCTACTAGGGACTAAAACGATAATCCCTAAAGTGGAAAATGAGCTGTGGAAAACCAGGGGCGGGGCAACGGCCCTCTTCCCCACATCTCATCTTCTCCTCCAGCTCTACTCTCCTACCTGGTCCCACCCCACACCCTGGCGTTTTCTCAACCTCCTGCAAGGGCTGCTGGGCCTTGTCACACTTCGGTGAATTATTCACACCTGCCAGGAAGCGAACGTCTGAACTGGACTGTCTTCTGAGACAGGTGCCCTGGCCTGAGCGAGGGGTGGGGGGCTGGCACTTACTAGATACAACCCGATACAAAATACAACCCTGGCCTTTAAAGGCCCCCCAATTGGCTAAACAAATACTCTTTCTGAAAGATTACAAAGGTAAACAAATAAATACGTGGAGGAAGTCTTAGAATGCCGTCCTTTAAAAAGGGCTCACGCCCTGCCCCCAGGGAATCTGACTTAATTGGTTTGGGTTGAGTCTGGAGATCAGTAGTTTTCAAAAACACTCCCAGGGAGATCCTAAAGTTCGCCCCGGCTGAGAAAGGTCCCCAGACCTACCGAATCAGGAACACTAGAGGTTGAGACTGGGCAACCAGTGTTTTAACGAACCACCGCATCCCCAGATCTCCCAACCCTGGGATGCTGGTGCACGCTCAAGTTTGAGAACAATCGCTCCGAGCTTACAAATGGAGAGCTCAGGAGGGTGAGCAGTTGGAGTTGGAGCACAGGGCTTGGGGTTAGGGACTCTCTGACGGGCACTCTTCTCCTTCCTCTCAGCCTCAGAGCGGTGAGTAAGCTCGCCTGGCAGAGCCGGGCCTGAACCCTCTGGGGCAGGCAGTCCCTAAAGGATGTTGTGGCGTCGAGTCCAGTTTTGGGACCACAAGGGGCCTCCTCCCTCCAAAGCCTCAGTCACGAGGCCCCTTGGTCGCCGCTCTGTTCCCTGCGGAGCTCCTTAGCGGCCAGGAAAGGGTTGGCCTGTGGTAGGCCATAGTGAGCGGCCAAAAAGGTCTCTTCCTGGAAAATCCTGGCTTCCAGTTTATGGCTTCTCATCCTTTTCCCCAAAGTGGGCCCCCTACTCTGGGCGCTGGCTTAAAAAAAAAAAAAAATCCCAGACAGGAACTGTGTCCATCCCCAGACAAAAACCGTGTCTCCTTTTCTGCACACCCACCATCTACCTACTCATCCTAAGCAATTGCACCCCCGCCCACGATAAAAGCAGCCCTTCTCCCAGAGCAACCAAACGCTGAACCCTACCGCTGAGGCCCACCCCTCACCCCTGCAGCACAACTCCTTCAACCCAGCGGTCAGAAAACAGCAAGTTCAGCGGCCTCCCCACTTCGGGCCTCCCCACCTAGGCCAACTGGGCAAGGCCCGATCCCGCTACAGTGCCCAGCGCAGTCCCCAGCGCAGGGACCCCTGGGGGAGAAGAGGGACCCCCGGTTCGGCTGCAACCGCGGGTCGTCGCCCCAGCGCATCCGGGACGGCGTCCCCGGGTTTCTGGCCGAGTTGCACCCCCACCCCCCGTGGGGAGGGGCTGCGGCCGCCGGGAGACGCTTAGGGTCTGGTGGCTCCTCCCCTGGGGTGGCCGAGCAGGAAGCGGGGCGCGCGGCGGGCGGGGGCGCGGGGGCGCGCGGCGCGGTGCGGACGGGCGCGCGGGGCGAGGCGGCGGAGTATGCGCGGGCCTGGGCGGCCAGCCCCGGCGCACAGCCGCGGCCGGGGCGCGCGGCGCGGGGCGGAAAAGCCTGTTTACACAGACTGCACACCGCCTGGGGAATAATGCAGTAAAGGAAGTGAGCCGGCTCGGCCTGACTGCTCCAACTTCCTGCTCTCACACACACCAGAGGGGAAAAAAAAAAGAGGAGTGAGAGAAAGAAAAAAAGGGGGGAAAAATCAGGATCTCATTACAAGAGCAACAGACCGTCTGCAGACGCCTGTCAGCATGGAAAGTCGGGGGCTTTCGCCCGGTTCCTCCTAGAAATTCCCTCGAAGAAGGATCTTGAAAGCTCCCCCACATCTGGGTAGGTAGCAGGGCTTCTGCCTGTTGCTGGGACAGTTGCAAAGTTTCGTTGGGGGTGTTTTTCTCTTTCTTTGGCTTGGTGGGGGTTGGGCGGTGGGCGCCGTGGGGTGGGCTGCGGGCCGGCTTTTGGGGTGGGGGTCGGCCGCGGGGAGGAGGCACAGCCGGGATGCTCCTACGCCCGTGCCGCCGCCCACCCATCCGGAGCTCGGTGCTGGTCCTCGCGCCGAGCCGGGGGCACCGGCGACCCTGCGCTGGCGTCACCCGGCCCTGGGGCTGAGCTAAGAGCCCAGAGGAGGGGTGCGCTCAGGGAGTAGGGGGACGGTGAGACCTGGGGACCTTGGGAGGAACAGTGACTGGAGCAGGCTGAGTGCCTGGAGGCTGGACCACCGCTGACCTGCCAGCTGGGGCGCCCCGCGGGGTGGCAGTGGGCACCGATGCGGGGAGTCTGGGAGCCTGGGGTGGAGAGGGCGGCGGAGGGCGTGCGGAGCTGAGGCGCTAGGCTGGGGGCTGCGGCCACTCGCTCCGCAGGTTACCCCCGCGAGGGTCACAGCCCCAGGCGCACGCCCAGCCGGACCTTTAAAAGCCGGCGGAGTCTTTACTAAACATTGATTTGGAGGACAGGGCAGTGGAAGGTCTTGTCGCCCCCCGGCTCTTTAGGAAAGGGGCTCCTCAGCTTCCGACGGAGTGTTGGCCTGTAGTGCTACTGTAACTTTTTGGGGAGGGGGGAAATAAGAATTTTGGAGAATTAAAAAAGAAAAATAAGAGGTCTTGGTTTTCTGCTTTCAGAACTGAATCATCCTGAGGACAAGCTGCAGTAAGGCGGCGGGTGGGGGTGGGAGCAAGAAATGTTATTTCAGAAACTGCAAAAGGGGCTTTTTCGAAAAAAAAAAAAATAAAACGAGTGTCGGGAGAGTTTCTGGCTTGTCTGGAAACTGCAAGACTAATTGCCATGCGCTTCCGCTTTGAAACTGGCAGCAGACAGCATCTTGAAAATGACTCACTGGAGGAGCTCACAAAGAAACTGTGGTTTGCTCCTTCTCAGGTTTATGTATTTGTGCCTTTTACAGTTTCCTTTGTAGTGTTGGAGAGGTCCCCCGCCCTCTTCCCCGCCGGCCCCCTCCCACCCTCCCGCTTTTGAAAGCCCCCGGCCGGTCTTTAACTCCCCCTAGCACCCCAGCCGGGAGAGGGGGTTTGGGGGGAGGCTGAGTTGTTTTTGGAGTTGGCTGGGAAGAGGGTTAAAGGGATTCTGCTGCTGCAGGGGGAAAAAGTTCCCTGAATTTTCCACTGGCTGCTGCAGGAAGAGAGAGCCCCTTTAGTCATTGCTAAGTAATGTCTGCACACACACCAACTAATCTCATTAGGAGTTTCCGCTGCTCCGCACAGGAGGGGTTTTGTGCAGCCACCGTCAGCCAGGCGAGCCCTGCGCTGGAGAGGGAGACAAGTTACGGCTTTATTTACTTCGCGGTGCAGCCGCCAGCCGAACCTTTTCAGGGTAGCATCTTTGCAAACTTTGAAGTCACTTTGGATTTCGGACTTGCAGGTTTTTCTTTGCCAGTTGTGTGTGTGAAGTTTCTATTGCCTAAGCAGCTCCACACGCCCATCCTCTCGCGTCTGAGCTTCAGTCTTTGTTTGGGGGGGTGGGGGAGGAGGTGGAGGAGATGGGAAACCAAGCATGTTCCAGGCATCTTATTAATGAGCTCAAATCGGTTACTGAGCCTCATTGCCTTCTTGCCAAACAAAATACCCTCTGATCTCTTTCCCTTTCTCTCTCTCTCTCTGTGACACATTTATTTGGGAAAGGTCAGTTATGAGTTTCAATTTATGGGGATTATAAAATACAAATTGTGTTAGGAGGGCATGTGGGTCATTCGGTTAAGAAGACTGTCCATAAGTGTTTTTAGAGTTTCCAGTAATGGTCCTGCCTGCAAAACCCCCTGATGGTCTTTCTATGCCAAATATAGCAAGGGCCTTCTGGCCTTCTTCTTTTTTTTTCTTCCTTTTTAAACCTTTATATGATGGAAATGTATAGAGTTACTAAAAAGGGTAAAGAACTTGTTGGAACCATAGGGCTCCTTTATTGCCAAGGACATGCTGCTGTCTTGAGGGTTTCTAAGGTGTTGGCATTTTTTTAGGGTGCCAGAGTGTGTCCTAAAAACAGCCCTACCAGCCTGACCAGGTAGTGAGTCATTAGGCATGTCCCTGACGCTGTGTCTGGCACAGAGTAGATGCTCAATAAATTGTTGCATTGAAAGCTGTGAGTAGGATAACAGGACTCACAATAAATAGATAAGGGGAAACAAAGCTTTGCAAAGTGTACATCATTCCGCATGAGCATTTAATTTCTTAAGGATGGAGTTTGTGAATATTCTATCCACTTCCTGCAAAATAAGAGGGAGGTAATTAGAAGTCTTCATTGCAATACATTATTATTTGGATATCATTTTGCCTGTTGGGGCATTTGAACAGTAGCTGGAGACATTTTGGTTGTCCTAACCAGAGGGGGTGCTGTTGGCCTCTAGTGGGCAGAGGTCAGGGATGCTGCTACACATCCAGCAACCTGCAGGGCAGCCTCGCACCCAAAGAATTTTCCAGCCCAAATTGTCAGTGGTGCCCAGACTGAGCAACTCTTGTATACATTAATGATGATGGTGATGATAATTCTTTTACATGCATTCATTCAATGAAGAGGATATTTAAAACTCATCCGCTGCACTTCTCTGCCACCTATATAATTGTATGCATGATTTTTTTTTCTCTCCCCTTCTCTTTCTTTTTGGTCCGTATATGCGGTAGCATGCCATGTAAGTGCAGACATGGTGGTGTGCCTTTGTGAGCTGAATTAGACCATCTCTGAACCTCACGTGGTACTAAAAATGCTTTTTGGACCAGAGTGGCAGATAGGAGAGAGCAGTGATTTTTTCAGCCCCATTTGAATTTTGATGTTTCCTAAACATTTATTCAAGACATCCTTTCTCTTATTAAAAAAATTTAATAATTCAAAACTGGTAGTGTACAGTAAAGGTGACTCTGAGATCATATATTGAAATTTATATTTATAATAACTTTTTGGAACTTGGATCTTTTCCTGAAATTGATTTTAAAGGACTTCCAGGCAGTGCATATAAATTTAAAATATTCCTTTCTTAGCTGTCAGATACTACGTTTTCTGTGTTCTGTGCTACCCAATTATATTTATAGGTCTGATTCAAAAACCAGTATGGTTGCAAAGCATCACCTATTGACAAACCTAAAAGACTTAAAAAATAAATCCAAGGTTGTGACCTCCTGGAATAGAGTCTTTTTCCACTAATGGCGAGCTGCTGCTTACTAATTAATAGCTTTGCTCCTTTGCAGTCCCAGAGAAGGATCCAGCCATCTCCAAGTTTCCCAGACCTGAGGTTCCTCATTAAACTTTAAAAGAAATCGGTTCTGTGCCCATCTGGCTGTGCCCTAGCTGCAGGCAGCTGGCTTCTGCCCCTTCCTGAGGGCCTGCACCTCCACATACGCGGGAGCAGCCCAGGTGGTTTGAATGAAGGGCCCCACGCCCGTCAGACTTCTCTGTATGTGTCAGGCAGGAGTTTTCTCTCGAAATTTTGTTATTCCTAGTTATCCATCATTTCTCTTTGCCTTCATAGGTTGAATTGTAATACATTTGAGGTCACACTAGCATAACAAAATTTGCTGTTTTTTTTTCTGATATAAAAATATTAATATGAATTACTTAAGGAGATTTAGAAAACCACAAAGACAAGAATGAACATCTTTCATAATCCCACTGTTGCCATTCGGTGTGTGTTGTTCTGGTTTGTTAAAATGCATGTGTGTGTGTACATACACGCACACTCTGCACCTGCACACAGGTAACATTTTAAAGTGGAATCACACTGTGCCTTCTGTTTGTAACTGAATTTCCCTAACATATCATGTACCATTTTAATAACTAGTACGAAGACCAGAATGACCACACAGAGAGCTTGTATTTATTGATCTAATAAATGTGTTGACTCAACAGTAGATTGGCATAATTTCGACATGGACTTATTCAGTGTTGTTGTCTCTGTGGCTGCAAGTAATGTTCTAAGAATGCTGCCCTCTTGAAAGACTGAATTCATATGTGGTGTGAAATTTGGGATTTTGATGAGTTTCTCTATGATTTAAGAATGAGTCATGATTTGCAAGAGAATATCAAGATGTAGTAACAGGAAGTCCAGGGCACTACACATCAAAATAGAATGTTCAGTGATGAGAAAAGAGAAACTAGGCTAGACCAGAAACACACCTTGAACTTAATCTATGGGAGGGAGGAAGGGTACCTGTTGCACACTTTGACGACTCTTTCTTTAGTACTGTTTCACTTTAGATCAGCAGAGTTTTCAAACTTTAAAACTGGTGTGTTAAGTGGATTTTCAGCTCAAGATCTCGATTACCCGTGGCCAGTGTGAACCGAGACCAGCCAGCCTGGGGTCTGGAGCCATGGCAGTGAGACCGTGCAGACGTGCGTTTGCAGCCCCAGGAACTGAGTTGTTAGTGTGTGTGTGTGTGTGTGTGTGTGTGTCCTCGGTGAACAAATCCTAAAGTTTGTCTTCAAAAATGGTGGATCATTTCGTCTTTGAAGTAATATTCTGTGCAGAAATTTGACTCCCCGGGATTCCTCTCCACACCAAAATGTAAATGGCCCTTCGTCCATTACCAGAAACGTACATGTATGTGAGCAGTTTAAAAACACACTTTTAGTTGGTCGTTTCAATACGTTGGAATTTGGTCTGAATTGCCAGTAGGACTTTGCTCATTGACTGCTTTATGATGTTCCATTGTCTGGGAGGTAATCGTTAAATTATTGTGAGAATCGAATAGGATTATTTGATAATGTGGCTGTGAGATTTATCTGTTCATTTTTAAAGAAATTAAGCTGATGGTTGTACTCAGGTAGTCTAATTTGAATCGGACGAAAATGCATGTATTCACCACACACGTGCTCCAGAAAGCTCTGAAGCACATATT